CGCTTCCCGGTCTGGACGACCTGGAACGATAAAGAGAAGAGTTCTAATGCTTACTAGCTTCATCCTCCTTCTCAGGATCGTGCCCCGTCCTCTAAATAACTCAACTGGCAAGTTTGCCTGTCTGTAAAGAGAAGGGCGGGATGTACGTTGATCCTGCTGCTCCATTCACTCGCTTCTCCATCACTTCTCATCACACTTCTTTCAGTTTTCACACGCAACAACTGTAGTTTAGACTGACCACAACTACTGACCACAACCACACCACTACTGGCCACAACTACTGAACGATAACTAATGACCACAACACAAAACTACTGACCACAACTAGCTACTGACCACAACCACACAACTACTGAACACAACTACTGAACCACACACCTACTTACCAAAACTACTGACCACTACTGACCACAACTACTGGCCACAACCACACAACTACTGACCACAACTACTGACCACACAACTACTGACCACACAACTACTGAACCACATAACTAATGACCTCAACCACACAACTACTGACCACAACTACTGACCACAACCATAATATTATTGACCACAACTACTGTCCATTACTGACCACAACTGCTGAACAAAGCTACTGACCACAACCACACAACTACTGACCAACTACTAAACCACAACTACTGGACACAACCACAAAACTACAAACCACAACTACTGACCACAACCACATAACTATGATCACAACTACTGAACCACACACCTACTTCCCAAAACCACTGACCACAACTACTGACCCCAACTACTGAACCACACACCTATTGAGCAAAACTAAACAACTACTGACCACAATAACAATACTATTGACTACAATCACTGACCACTACTGACCACAACTACTGACCACAGCTACTGACCACAACCACACAACTACTGACCACACCTACTAAACCACTACTACTGACCACAACCAAAAACTACTGACCATAACTGACCAAAACTACTGACCAGAACCCCACAACTACTCACCACAACTACTGAACCACACACCTACTTACCAAAACTACTGACCACAACTACTGAACACAACCACACAACTACTGACCACAACTATTAGACACACAACTACTGAACCACACAAATAATGATCACAACCACACAACTACTGACCACAACTACTGACCACAACCACAAAGCTACTGTCCACAACTGACCACAACCACACAACTACTGAACACAAATACAAAACCACAAATACTGACCATAACCACAAATTTACTGACCAAAACTACTGCTCTAGTCTGCACTAGCTTTGGTCCAGCTCTGGTCCTGGGCATAGCTAGCTAGCTCTTGTTCGCTCTAGCTCTGGTTTGCACTAGGAATTATAACTACTTAAATGTGCATGAATTAGCATATAATACCCACCAAGATTAACTGTAACTTTTGAACCATTCAAGCTAGATACACCAAACCAACTTCCACAGGTTCAGGCTATCCTATCATATCAATCAATCAATAAATCAATATTTTCATCTACCTACTTTTATTTTAAGTGTAATCAGTCACCACTACTATAACTTATTTCAAAACCATACAAACTAGCAAGCACACCACATTTTCTTCAGGAAATGTACTTTTCAGTGATGACTGTTAGCCTGAACATTTTATTTATTAGCTGGAATTACACCTAGCTATCAGTAGGTAAACATACAGTGCATTCGGAAAGTATTCAGACCTCTTGACTTTTTCCACATTTTGTTACGTTAAAGCCTTATTCTAAAATTGATTTAAAATATTGTCCTCATCAATCTACACACAATACCCCATAATGACACAGTGAAAACAGGTTTTTAGAAATGTTTGCTAATTTATAGAAAAAAAGAAAAAAAGAAAAACCTTATTCATATAAGTATTCAGACCCTTTGCTATGAGACTCGAAATTGAGCTCACCTGCATCCTGTTTCCATTGATCATCCTTGAGATGTTTCTACAACTTGCTTGGAGTCCACCTGTGGTACATTCAATTGATTGGGCATGATTTGGAAAGGCACATATAAGATCCCACAGTTGACAGTGCATGTCAGAGCAAAACCCAAGCCATGAGGTCAAAGGAATTGTCCGTAGAGCTCCAAGACAGGATTGTGTCGAGGCACAGATCTTGGGAATGGTACTAAAAAATGTCTGCGGAATTGAAGGTCCCCAAGAACACAGTGGCCTCCATCATTCTTAAATGGAAGAAGTTGGAACCATCAAGACTCTTCCTAGAGCTGTCCGCCCGGTCAAACAGAGCAATCGGGGGAGAAGGGCCTTGGTCAGGGGGGTGACCAAGAACCTGATGGTCTCTCTGACAGAGCTCCAGATTTCCTCTGTGGAGATGAGAGAACCTTCCAGAAGGACAACCATCTCTGCAGCACTCCACCAACCAGGCCTTTATGGTAGATTGGCCAGACGAAAGCCACTCCTCAGTAAAAGGCACGACAGCCCGCTTGGAGTTTGCCAAAAAGCACCTAAAGGACTCTGATCAATGAGAAACAAGATTCTCTGGTCTGATGAAACCAAGATTGAACTCTTTGACCTGAATGCCAAGTGTCCGGTCTGGAGGAAACCTGGCACCATTCCTACAGTGAAGCATGGTGGTGGCAGCATCATGCTGTGGGGATGTTTATCAGCAGCAGGGACTGGGAGACTAGTCAGGATCGAGGGAAAGATGAACGGAGCAAAGTACAGAGAGATCCTTGATGAAAACCTGCTCCAGAGTGCTCAGGACCTCAGACTGGGGCGAAGGTTCACCTTCCAACAGGACAACGACTCTAAGCACACAGTCAAGACAACGCAGGACTGGCTTTGGGAAAAGTCTCTGAATGTCATTGAGTGGCCCAGCCAGAGCCCGGACTTGAACCTGATTTAACATCTCTGGAGAGACTTGAAAATAGCTGTGCAGCGACACTCCCCATCCAACCTGACAGAGCTTGAGAGGATCTGCAGAGAAGACTGGGAGAAACTCCCCAAATACAGGTATGCCAAGCTTGTAGCGTCATACACAAGAAGACTTGAGGCTGTAATCACTGCCAAATGTGCTTCAACAAAGTACTGAGTAAAGAGTCTGAATACTTATGTAAATGTGATATTTAAGTTTTTTATTTTAATACATTTGCAAAAATTCTAAAAACCAGTTTTTGCTTTGTCATTATGGGGTATTGTGTGTAGTTTGATGAGGGAAAACAACAATTTCATCAATTTTAGAATAAGGCTGTAATTTAACAAATTGTGGAAAATGTCAAGGGGTCTGAATACTTTCCGAAAGCACTGTACAAACCTATTCTACATAGTTCTTCAACTACCACAAAAATACTTTTAAAGAGCTGCCATCACTAGATGCACCATCATATTTCTTTCCACAAATAATAGCCTAAAACTTTATTATCATTACATCATCAATCAACTAAAATCTAATTTGATTTATACTAAACGTTTCACAAAAGTAAATCGCACATCTATTTATCTGAAACACACAGCATGAATGATTCAGAATTGCTTTGCTTTCCTAAGAGTGTTGTCCACATGATCCTGCCTTTTATTCCCATCTTCTGACAGAAGATCGCTTTGTCTTGTCTTTCTTCTTTCAGATTTCACACGCAAAATTTGCAGTTTAGACATTTTTGCAATCTAACTGTCCCACAATCTAAAGTAATAGGGTTGATATAGTATTCTATCAAAATAATCAGACCAATTATTTTACAAAATTAAATGTTGACTATATATAACTGCTTAGCTTTAAATAGTAAAGTAAACTTTTTTTTACTTATTGTCACAATACAGATGTGGATGTGGTGGAGGAGTCAGGCGCAGGACACAGAGGTAAAGTCCAACAGACTTTAATAGTCACAAGAATACGAGGAAAACCTCCGACCTCAAAAACAAACAACGAGGCGAGGGAACAATTACGCATATGCGTAAACACTAAGATACAAAACACAACGGGAGCAAACACGTAGCTCCGATACTGTGGCAGGAAACAACAACACACAAAATACTAGAACAAAACAAGGAACTTATAGGACACGTAATCAAGACACAAATGGACACAGGTGATACAGACAGACAAAAGCAATCAAATGCAGACACATAGAGCGGTGGCAGCTAGTACTCCGGGGACGGCGAACGCCGAAGCCTGCCCGAACCAGGAGGAGGAGCAGCCTCGGCCGAAACCGTGACACTTCTTCCATTGCCACAAAAATACTTTTAAAGAGCTAAAGCAAATTTAATTTAATTTTTATAAATATACTTTTAAAAATTAAGCTTTTTGTCCTTCTTTTTGTCCTCCATCCACTTTCATGGGATTCATAGCTATCAGTAGGGCTACATACAAACCTATTCTACATAGTTCTTCAACTACCACAAAAATACTTTTAAAGAGCTGTCATCACTGGATGCACCATCATATTTCTCTCCCCAAATAATAGCCTAAAACGTTCTAATCATTAAATCATCATTCAACTAAAATCAAACTTTGTTTATCTGAAATCCACAGCATGAATGATTCAGAGTTGCTTTCCTTAGAGTGTTGTCCACATGATCCTGCCTTTTATTCCCATCTTCTGACAGAAGATCGCTTTGTTCTGTATCTTTCTTGTATCAGTTTTCACACGCAACAACTGTAGTTTAGCCATTTTTGCGATCTATCTGCCCCACAATCTACAGGTACTCTGTAGCTCAGTTGGTAGAGCATGGCGCTTGCATGTATGCACTCACTAACTGTAAGTCGCTCTGGATAAGAGCGTCTGCTAAATGACTGAAATGTAAATGTAATAAGGTTGATACAGTAGTCTATCAAAAGAATAAGACCAATTATTTTACTAAATGTAACTTTGACTATATGTAACTGCTTTGCTTTAAATAGTAAAGTAAAACTTTTTAAACTTCTTCCATTACCACAAAAATACTTTTAAAGAGCTAAAGCAAGCCCAACAACTTTACTTGTAAAGTTAACATCTAGTTCATATATGCTGTTACTTTGACAGCATATAGCAATGTTATATGCTGTCAAATGATTTATAGGATAAGCAGTGTAATACAGTACCTGTCCATGTTCGGTGCACAGGCAGCTTGAGGGCCGGGTGGGTGATCTCCACGCTCACTCTCAGTCGTGCTCTCTCGTCCCCTCTAGGCCCCTTTCTCACGTTCACCCTGTTTATGTGCAACGTTTCCATTCCTTCTTCTCCCTCTTCCCCACTCTCGTCCTCCACCTCCATCTGCGTCACCTTTCTTTCCACGTTGTTGTTCTCTCCGTCTCTTTCGTCGATGTACTCTATTCCTTCCGCATCGGGGTCCGTGACTGCGGCTTTTGTTTCTACAAACATTAAGAGATATAAAGAGATATTTATTCATTCACTTTACTGGATAAATTGTCAATGTAAAATTAGCGTTTATTATTAGGCAAATCCTTTTCAGTCCTTTTTCTTCCGTTTGATGCTTAATGAACACAATCCAGTTCTAACATGGACAGGTACTGTTTCAGTAGTGTTAATAAACACCCACTAAGTGTGTGTCCGTTTTTCCGACTGTCCATCTGACCATTTCCGTCTGTCTGACTGAGCCTGCGAGTGGATCTCTCCAATGCACACACGCTCCTAAGCTCTCTCTGTCCGTCCTCTCCCTTCCCGCCTGTCTCGTTGGACACCAGCGGTATGAGGGTGGTGCCCCCTGCTGCCCAAAGCACCTTAGCTTTTGGGTGGCCTCCCGTCAACAGGAGAGAGAAAACCCCAACACCCTCGCTGGTCCAACGGACAGTAAGAGAGGAGGGGATGGAGGGAGCAGCTGGAAGAAAGAGAGAGAGAAAGAGGGAGGATTAAAGGTCAAAGTATTTTGAAAATGTATGGTAGATAGAATTCCTTGAATGTAACATATACTTTATTTTTATACTGTTCGATAGGTTATTCATAACCCATAAGAAAGTGTATGCGACCAGTTACAGTCTTAAAACGGTTGGCGTACTGCTAAACAACATTTAAATGAAGTCTATACTAACACTGACAAATGACATGAATGTAGACTAGAGAGAAACGGGTACCGATATTAACGTTTCTCCACCGTCTCTCGATGGGCTCCTCCAGCGAACAGTGCTCCACTCGGCACACCACCCCTCCTGCTCTTTCCTTCTTCTCCTCCTTTATTTCCCCCTTCCTCAGAGTCGCATTGGCACGGTAGGTACTGGGACCACTCAGCATGGGCCCCCAGATTTCTCCTCCTTCTATCACCTCTTCCTCTCGGTCATCCACCTCTCCCTCCCTCAGACGGAGCCAGGTAACCGAGATGTCTGGAGGGTAGAACCCAGTCATGTCACAGCCCAATGTCAAATGTTGACCAGGGAAGGAGGCGGAGCTGATAATCTCAGACACGTTGGGCCTCTTTATGAAACCTGCGAGGAACAAGATGTAATATAAGATGAGTGGAATACATTTAGTCATGACCAATGTTCCCTCAAAACATTTTCCGCACTGAGCAAATTTCAGGTCTGCTGAGTGCAAACTTGAACGTTGTGAAAATTCTTTGCAACTTCCAGCGCACATTTACTGTGAACACTGAGGCTGTACCGCTTTAAGTTACAGTTTTAACAGTGGCCATGTAGGCTACTGTGGCTATTTGATCATAATGTAAGCCTACCAGTGTGGCCTACCATAAAAAACAATGGAGAAAATGCATCCCATAACATTTTAAGATGGAAATAGCTGATCTATCATTCAGCCTACAGTAGCAGCCAATGTGTGGTGTTGAATTTAGACCTACATTCCATGAGACATTTGACAAAAAAACATGCAGGGCTTGACATTAACCTGTTTATCCACTTGTCCTTCAGACAAGGAGGTGTCTGAAAATGTTGTTGTGTTCTTTGATGTAAGAAACCACTTTTCTAAATAAAATACATTACTATTCCCATACCATTATTACAGAGAATCAGACAAATTATGCTACCCTCTGCCTATTGGCTACTTAGCTCATTCAAGACCGTCTCAAAATACAACAGTGCCCCTTTAAGACAAAAAAAAGCTCTTTACCTTACTTGCTTTTCAAAGATGTCTAGAAATGTACACGTTTTGTGCTCTTGTAGGAAGCAATCACTCCCCTATTGCTGACTACAAATGATCTATAACTGGGCTATACACTCACTAACTAGCAAAGGATATAAACAAAATGTGCACATGTGGCTACATGCAGCTCTCGCTTTGATTTCAAAACAAGCGCAATCTACTCATGACCGCTCATGCTGTAAACACAGTCAAGTTCAAAGTAAATGGCACAGATCCATATATGGCAATGGTCTATTTGCATATAGGCCTACTGCAGCTCTGATTGTTTGTGCCGCACCGGTCTGTGTAGAGTCTGGGGTGAGTAGTGAGTGTCAATGCAATAGAATCCTACTCCGATGCATTCTGCCTACAACAAAATCTCTTGCATAGTTCGTTTTGTTTCGGTATGTTGCATTGAAAGTGGCTAATATTGCATTGATTCGATCACAATTGCCACAGTAAAGGGAAATGTTGATAGTGTTGACAGGGAAAACTCTAGAACAGTGGTCACCAACCTTTTCTGAATCAAGATCACTTTGAGTCAAAATGAAAGCCAAGATCTACAGCTCTTTTTTACATGACTCAAAAAACGTAAGCCTATGCAACATCAACCAATTAAAAACAGTACTGTAAATCAAAATCAAATGTATTGGTCACATACACATGGTTAGCAGATGTTATTGCGGGCTGTCATGTGCCTTTTACTGAGCAGTGGTTTCCGTCTGCCCACTACCATAAAGGCCTGATTGGTGGAGTGCTGCAGAGATGTTTGTACTTCTGGAAGGTTCTCCCATCTCCACAGAGGAACTCTGGAGCTCTGTAAGAGTGACCATCGGGTTCTTGGCCACCTCACTGACCAAGGCCCTTCTCCCCTGATTGTTCGGTTTGGCCAGGTGGCCAGCTCTAGGAAGATTCTTGGTGGTTCCAAACTTCTTCCATTTAAGAATGATGGAGGCCACTGTGTTCTTGGGGACCTTCAATGCTGCAGAAATTTTTTGGTACCCTTCCCCAGATCTGTGCCTCGACACAATCCTGTCTCGGAGCTCTACGGACAATTCCTTCGACCTCATAGCTTGGTTTTTGCTCTGACATGCACTGTCAACTGTAAGACCTTATATAGACAGGTGTGTGCCTTTCCAAATCATGTCCAATCAATTGAGTTTACCACAGGTGGACTCCAATCAAGTTGTAGAAACATCTCAAGGATTATCAATGGAAACAGGATGCACCTGAGCTCAATTTCGACTCTCACAGCAAAGGGTCTGAATACTTATGTAAATAAAGTATTTCCATTTTTTTTTTTACATTTATAAAAACCTGATTTTATTATGAGGTATTGTGTGTAGACTGATGAGGATTTGTAAATTTTTTATCCATTTTAGAATAAGGCTGTAACGTAACATAATGTGGAAAAAGTCATGGATTCGCCATCCTTTCTGAATGCACTGTATATGATCACACCGGTAATAGATCCGTTGTTGTATTACTTGTGAAGCACGGCTCAGTAGCATATATTTTAATATTTTACTGGGTTGATGGTGCCTGCATCTGATGGTCAGTCTCAGCGGAGGGAGAGATTAGCAGAATGAGGGTCCACCTCTCAACATCCCTCTGCTCTCCTTTTCCTCCACTGACACTGACCAAAAAGGGACAGCATCTTCCAGCTGATGGCGAAACTCGAGTCGCACCGCATTATTTCTGCCTCATGCTCAAATTCATGTTGTTACTCCTATGAAAAGAGAAAGTGAACTATTCCTCGATATTAAAAAAGACCTAAGCCGCTAATAATAACAACAACGCAAGCCTATAGATACACTTTCCTACTCATTCATTACATGCTGACTAGACGTGTTGATTTTGTCCATCCATACCAGAGGTGATCAGGACACACAGGTTGAAATATCAAAACAAACTATATTAATTTGGGGACAGGTCTAAACGCATGAAACATTCATGGCAATTTAGCTAGCTAGCTTGCTGTTGCTAGCTAATTTGTAATGGGAAATACATTTTGGGTTGTTATTTTACCTGAAATGCACAAGGTCCTTTACTCCGACAATTAATCCACAGATAATAGGGTAAACCTAGTTAGTTTCTAGTAATCTCCACCTTCAGTCTTCTTCTTCTTCTTTGGACTTTATATGGGGGTTGGCAACCAACTTTAAGGTGCATTACCACCACCAACTGGACTCGAGTGTAGACCTCAGTTCAGCTTTCAATCACCCACGTGGGTATATGCGCCTAAAAACCAATGAGAAGATGGGAGAGGCGGGACTTGCAGCGCGTCAAGTTTCAAAAATAGAACCAAGTTCTATTTTAGCGCCTGGCTACGCAGACGCTCGTTGATGCACGCAAGCAGTTTGGATTAAATGATTGAATAATGTGTGTACATTTATTTTGCAACGCGAGCGCACATAACACGAGTGGTCTGGTCAGCATGTAACTGACCACACCGCTCGCGTTACGTGCACGAGCGTTGCAAAATAAATGTACACATACATGTTATTCAATCATTTAATCCAAACAGCTCGCGTGCGTCAACGAGCGTCTGTGTAGCCAGGCGCTAAAATAGAACAACCCAATAGGACAAATTAGCTAGCAACAGCAAGCTTGCTAGTTAAATTGCCATGAATGTTTCATGCATTTCGACTTGGTTCAGAGTTCGTTTTGATATTTCAACCTGCTTGTCCTGATTGCATTTGGTGTGGCTGGACAAAATCAACATGTGCAAGCGGATGCACGCGCGCGCCCAGTCTAGTCAGCATGTTATATTTTAGTGCCTGGCTACGCAGATTGGATGAAATGATTGAGTAACATGTATGTGTACAGTTATTTGCAACGCTCGCGCACGTAACGTGAGCGGTGTGGTCAGCATGTTACTGATGCAGTGCTTGTTGTAGCGCTGAGAGGAAATAGGAAGAACGCGCATTTTATGGCTTATAAAAGTGTTGAATACAAAGTGCTGACAGTGCAGAGTAAGAACTTAAACATTAACTCACTCATAAAAACAGCATCTCTTTGCTGTGTTTGTTGACAGTCTCTCTCAATCATGGTTTTAAATGTTTTGAAATCTCACAGTATCAACTTTGCTGTAGCTTTCTTTTATGCCTGATATGTTACTGCAGACACGGTCATCTGAGCCATCCGACTGGTCAGAGGTAGGCCTATAGTGCACTTGATTTGCTCTCTGGGCCCGCGGGGAAGTCAGAGTTTGTACCTTCATACAAATGAAATGGTTCAAAATGGCAACAGTTCGCCTACCCGTGCGCAGGGCAGCTGAATCGGGTGCACCTACCGCCAACAGCCCGAGACAAAGAAAATAAAATAGGAACACAAGGCTTTATCGTTGGGTTTTTTACAGAAATGCTTGGCGATCGACTAGGAATGCCTTGGAGATCGACCAGTCGATCGTGATCGACCGGTTGGTGACCACTGATTTAGAAAGTTGAGTGAATTTCAATCTCGTGCTTCTCTCTGTGGGCTGATAGGCCTATTTCTGGGTGGCAGTCCCGTGGAGCTGCGCAGCAGTCTCGGGGCTACTGCGCACGTGCGCGCGTTTTTAGAGGGAACATTGGTCATTCCTCAGACTTCTTTTATGTTACATTTATACAACTTCTGAGGAAAAAGACACAAAATATGTCATTACTCCTTCCCCTCCTCCCTTAAAGGGGTAGTTCACCCAAATTATGAAATTATGTACTTGTTTCCTTAGCCTAAAAGCAGTCTGTGGACTCTTAGGTAAACAAAACCAAAGCTTGAATTGCGGTCTCTCCCTTTCCATAAACTAAAATGTATATTTAAGGTAAGGTAACAAATAATACCCCTTTAACCATCACAAACACCACCCTCCTCTCACCTCGGGTCTCGCGGGTGACGGGGAGCTTGAGGGCAATGTGATGGACGCTCACCCACACCTTGGTGCCACCGTGCTCCAGCTCGGCGCGGGGCAGCTTGCACTGGCTCATGGCTGAGAAGAAGCCCTGGGTGTCGGGCCGTGGGGCAGACAGGGCCTGGGAGGCCACGGGGCTCAGTTCACCCCCCTGGCAGAACCAACGGAAGGTGATAATGTCTGGATGGAAGCGCGAGGCCTGGGTGGTCAGGGTGACCACACCTGGAGGAAAGAGGGGAAAGAGACATGCAGCATATAGTCTTGTGTGGTTCAGTTGGTAACAATGCGGCACTGGCAACGCCAATTACCGCAGGGATCATACACACACAAAAAATTTTTTGCACTGACTGTATACATAAAAATGTCTGCTATATTGTCAAGACAGTTAAAAAACGCAATTGGTTGAGTTGAAATGGAATTGACTCCAATCCTGATATGCAATGTACTGTCATTTGTACTGTATTTAAATGAACTTGAGTTCATCTTACCGGAGTCAACACCTGCCTCTGTGAGCTGAATCTCTGAGACCTCAGGGGGAGCTGAAGAAAAGTAAGAGAGGACAGGACAAGTAATTTGAATACAATTATTACAGATACAGTGACTCCAGAAAGTATTTACACCCCTTGACTTTTTCCACCTGAATAGAAAATGGATGTCTCTGGCCTACACACAATACCCCATAATGTCAAAGTGGAATGATGTTTATAGAAAAAAATTTGAAAGCATAAATAAGTTCAGGAGTACAAATGTGCTTAACAAGTCACATAGTAAGTTGCATGGACTCGCTCTGTGCAATAATAGTGTTTAACATGATGTTTGAATGGCTACCTCATCTCTGTACCCCACACATACAATTATCTGTAAGATCCCTCAGTCGAGCAGTGAATTTCAAAGACAGATTCAACCACAAAGATCAGGGAGATCAATGGTGACTTTAAAACAGTTACAGTTTAATGGCTGTGATAGGAGAAAACTGAGGATGGATCAACAACATTGTAGTTACTCCACAATACCAACCTAAATGACAGAGTGAAAAGAAGGAAGCCTGCACAGAATACAAATATTCCAAAACATGCATCCTATTTGCAATAAGGCACTAAAGTAAAACTGCAAAAACATGTGGCAAAGAAATTAACTTTATGTCCTGAATACAAAGCATTCATTTGGGGCAAATCCAACACAACACATCACTGAGTACCACTCTTCATATTTTCAAGCATGGTGGTGGCTGCATCATGTTATGGGTATGCTTATCATCGACAAAGAGTAGTTTTTTATTTTTTTGGGGGGGAGGGATTAAAAGAAATGGAATAGCAAAATCCTAGAGGAAAACCTGGTTCAGTGTGCTTTCCAACAGACACTGGGAGACAAATTCACCATTCAGCAGGACAATAACCTAAAACACAAGGACAAATATACACTGCAGTTGCTTACCAAGACGACATTGAATGTTCCTGAGTGGCTTAGTTACAGTTTTGACTTAAATCGGCTTGAGAATCTATGGCAAGATTTGAAAATGGCTTTCTAGCAATGATCAGCAACCAACTTGAGAGCGCTTGAAGAAATAAAATAAAAAAAATATGCAAATATTGTACAATCCGGGTATGGAAAGCTCTTAGAGTCTTACCCAGAAAGACTCACAGCTGTAATCACTGCCAAAGTTGATTTAAACATGTAAATGAGATATTTCTATATTTCATTTTCAAGACTTTTGAAAAATTTATAAAAACATGTTTTCACTTTGTCATTCAAATCAAATCAAATCAAATTGTAATGGCCACATGCGCTGAATACAACAGGTGTAGACATTACAGTGAAATGCTTACTTACAGCCCTTAACCAACAATGCATTTATTTTTTAATAAAAAAAGTAAAATAAAACAACAACAAAAAACTGTTGAGAAAAAAGGAGCAGAAGTAAAATAAAATAACAGTAGGGAGGCTATATATACGGGGGGGTACTGGTGCAGAGTCAATGTGCGGGGGCACCGGCTAGTTGAGGTAGTTGAGGTAATATGTACATGTGGGTAGAGTTAAAGTGACTATGCATATATAATTAACAGAGTAGCAGCAGCGTAAAAGGATGGCGTGGGGGTGGGGGGGCAGTGCAAATAGTTTGGGTAGCCATGATTAGCTGTTCAGGAGTCTTATGGCTTGGGGGTAGAAGCTGTTGAGAAGTCTTTTGGACCTAGACTTGGCACTCCGGTACCACTTGCCGTGCGGTAGCAGAGAGAACAGTCTATGACTAGGGTGGCTGGAGTCTTTGACAATTTTGAGGGCCTTCCTCTGACACCGCCTGGTATAGAGGTCCTGGATGGCAGGAAGCTTGGCCCCAGTGATGTACTGGGCCGTACGCACTACCCTCTGTAGTGTCTTGCGGTCGGAGGCCGAGCAGTTGCCATTCCAGGCAGTGATGCAACCAGTCAGGATGCTCTCGATGGTGCAGCTGTATAACTTTTTGAGGATCTGAGGACCCATTCCAAATCTTTTTAGTCTCCTGAGGGGGAATAGGCTTTGTCGTGCCCTCTTCATGACTGTCTTGGTGTGTTTGGACCATGATAGTTCGTTGGTGATGTGGACACCAAGGAACTTGAAGCTCTCAACCTGTTCCACTACAGCCCCGTCGATGAGAATGGGCGCGTGCTCAGTCCTCTTTTCTTTCCTGTAGTCCACAATCATCTCCTTTGTCTTGGTTACGTTGAGATAGAGGTTGTTGTCCTGGCACCACACGGCCAGGTCTCTGACCTCCTCCCTATAGGCTGTCTCATCGTTCTCGGTGATCAGGCATACCACTGTTGTGTCGTCGGCAAACTTAATGATGGTGTTGGAATCGTGCCTGGCCATGCAGTCTTGGGTGAACAGGGAGTACAGGAGGGGACTGAGCACGCACCCCTGAGGGGCCCCCGTGTTGAGGATCAGTGTGGCAAATGTGTTGTTAACTACCCTTACCACCTGGGGGCGGCCCGTCAGGAAGTCCAGGATCCAGTTGCAGAGGGAGGTGTTTAGTCCCAGGATCCTTAGCTTAGCTTTGAGGGCACTATGGTGTTGAATGCTGAGCTGTAGTCAATTAATAGCATTCTCACGTAGGTGTTCCTCTTGTCCAGGTGGGAAAGGGCGGTGTGGAGTGCAATAGAGATTGCATCATCTATGGATCTGTTGGGGCGGTATGCAAATTGGAGTGGGTTTCTGTAATAATGGTGTTGATGTGAGCCATGGCTACAGACGTCAGTGCTACGGGTCGGTAGTCATTTAGGCAGGTTATCTTAGTTTCCTTGGGCACGGGGACTATGGTGGTCTGCTTGAAACATGTTGGTATTACAGACTCAGTCAGCGACATGTTGAAAATGTCAGTGAAGACACTTGCCAGTTGGTCAGCACATGCTCGGAGTACACGTCCTGGTAATCCGTCTGGCCCTGCGGCCTTGTGAATGTTGACCTGCTTAAAAGTCTTACTCACATTGGCTACGGAGAGCGTGATCACATAGTCATCCGGAACAGCTGGTGCTCTCATGCATGCTTCAGTGTTGCTTGCCTCGAAGCGAGCATAGAAGTGGTTTAGCTCGTCTGGAAGTCTTGTGTCACTGGGCAGCTCGCGGCTGTGCTTCCCTTTGTAGTCTGTAATAGTTTTCAAGCCCTGCCACATCCGACGACCGTCAGAGCCGGTGTAGTCCGATTCAATCTTAGTCCTGTACTGACTTTTTGCCTGTTTGATGGTTCGTCAGAGGGCATAGCGGGATTTCTTATAAGCGTCCGGGGTATGGGGTATTGTGTGTAGATGGGTGACATTTTTATTTTATTTAATCATTTTGAATTCAGGCTGTAACACAACAAAATGTGGAATAAGTCAGGGGGTATGAATACTTTCTGAAGGCACTGTACCCTGAGACAGAAGGAAGAGGAAAAGTAAGAGAGTGTTTCTGTAAGAGAGACAGTTTTGGGTTCAATTCCATTTTAATTCAATCAAATTTCCTGAATTGAAGCAAAATTGACTTCAACCCTGGTGCGAAAGCTGTCCCTTACCTAATATGGTGAACATGTCCGACACCCTCTCCACCACCACCTTGTCTTTCCCCACATAAGACACCTGGCACTTGAACACCGCCCCCTTGTGGATACAGATCTGGGGGATGAAGGAGAGCGAGGACAGCAGTCGCTGCTTGCTGCTGTCCCCCGTCGAGTGCAGCGGGCCCTGTGTGTGCAGCTTGTAATAGCCCATGTTGCTACCAGAGGGCAGCAGGGGACCCTTCTCTGACACTGGGGAGTTGAGAGTGAGACCATATGGTAGAAACATGGTGCTTAGTTGGTTACGGAGAAAGTTAGTGTTGTTAGCGTAAGCTTTGAATGAGGGACGGGATTCTGGTCATTTGATGTAGGACAGTATTTGTTAGTAGAATTATGACATGAAAAAGACAAAAGGCAGCAAGTTACTTATGTGCTGCACAAAGGCAAAATGCAAAAGAAATTACAAAACAAAGTGAAGGTAACATTTTAGTGAATTAAATGTCCTTGTATAATTACTTGTATAATACTTTATAACTTGTCTGAGCCTTTATAGTGCCTACTGTCTATGTAGGACATTTTAAACTGGCTGAAGATTCTGTAAAAATTCTGTCAGTTATTCAGTCAGGATCATTATGAGATTATAATAAAACATAATAAGGGGATAATACATGATTATGACATGTCTTACAATGCCATCTAACTGTATAATAACGCTTTATACCTGTAGGCTGTAATTAAAGTGTTACCGAAAGAGACATATTGTGGTCTGGCTCTACGTGTATATACACTTAACACAATATGCATTTGGACAGTGAAGCTAACATTTTCAATTTGGCTCTATACTCTAGCATTTCGGATTTGAAATCAAATGTTTCATATGAGGCAACAGTACAGAATGTCACCTTTTATTTGAATACATTTTCATACATATCTGTTTTACCATTTTGAAATGAAAGCACTTATTTTATGCATTGAAGAATTCATAAGTATTTGGACAAATTCACTTAGAGTGTATTAAAATAGTCAAACTTTTTGTGGTTGGTACCATATTCCTTGTACGCAATGACTACATCAAGCTTGTGACTCTACAAACTAGTTGGATGCATTTGCAGTTTGTTTTGGTTGTGTTTTGGTTTACATTTTGTCCAATAGTAACTGAAGGATAAATAAGGAGAAATGTTATTTCTAAGAGTCACAAGCTTGATGCAGTCATTGCGTGCAAGGAGTATGGGACCAAATGCTAAACTTTTGACTACTTAAAATACACTGGAGTATAGAGCCACAAAAAATTTTTTAACTTCACTGTCCAAGTACATATGCTGTAGAGTGTATATAATGCTATAATGCTTTATAATAGTATAATGCTTTATAACCTATTATAATCATTTCTGGGCCTCGAAAATGTCTTAGAATAAAGCTTATAATATGTTATGTGACATATTGTGGTTTGGCTCTACCTGTGTGTGAGGTGTCTGAGATGGGGGTGTCATTGAGGAACCAGGTAATCTGGACCCTGTCCACCCTCCTCCCCTCCACACTAACGGTCACCCTGCCCTTCTGACCCACAATGACCCGGGGAGGCAGAATGATCCCCGATACGTTTAGAGACTTCTGCTTCTCTGGGGAGGGAACAAGGGAGAGGGACAGAGAGAGAGGAGAGGGAGAGAGACGTCAGTGGTGATATGAACACAATTTTCTGAGACTAGTGGTGTTACAAAACTTAATAATAAAAGTGCAATTATATACAGTGGGGAAAAAAAGTATTTAGTCAGCCACCAATTGTGCAAGTTCTCCCACTTAAAAAGATGAGAGAGGCCTGTAATTATTGACACCCTTGAGATGAGCAAAAAAATGAATAAATAATACAAATACTGAGCTATATTGTATGCTAAAAAAATGAAAACATGATATTATTTTTTACTAATACAAGTACTCAGAGAAAGAGATTTTGTTTAACAAGTAATCTCAAAAAGATAGGTGTCAAAATTATTGGCATCCCTGTTTTCAATACCTTTCAATACTTCACCCTTTTCTAAAATGTTTTATGAGATTGGAGAACACATTGGGAGGGATCATAGACCATTCCTCCATACAGAATCTTTCCAGATCCTTGATATCCTTTGTCTGCGCGTATGGACTGCCCTCTTCAATTCAAACTACAGGTTTTCAATGGGCTTCAAGTCCAGAGATTGAAATGGCCATTGCAAAATTTAGATTTTGTGGTTAATTAACCATTTCTTTGTGGATTTTGATGTGTGCTTGGGGTTATTGTCTTGCTGGAATATCCACTTGAGGCCATGTTTTAGCTTCCTGGCAGAGGTAACCAGGTTTTTGGCTAAAATGTCCTGGTACTGGGTAAGGTTCATGATGCTGTTGACATTAACAAGGGCCCCAAGACCGGTGACGCAAAATAGCCCCATAACATCAAAGATCCACCACCTGATGTTACAGTAGGTATGGGGTACTTTTTCTGCATATGCATCTTTCCTTCGACGCAAAACCCACCACTATACTTTGCGTGGCCAAATAGCTCTATTTTCATGTAATCTGACCATAGCACCGGTTCCAATCCAAGTGCCAATGCCGTTTAGCAAATTCCAGGCATTTAGATTTGTTGGATGGCATGGTAATATAGCTCTTTGGCCATTCACACCAGTGCTGGGTTTTGCTTCAAAAGAAAGATGCATATGCAGAAAAAGTACCCCATACCTACTGTAAAATCAGGTGGTGGATCTTTGATGTTATGGGGCAATTTTGCTTCCAGTGGTCCATAGCATGTTTTAGTTTCCCTTACAATAAATGTGATTAGTAATAGCGTTATAGTAAATAAAACAGTCCCGTAACAGCTTATTTTTACAAAGTAAAACGTAAAAGAGAATGGTATCAACACGCAAGGCACGCAGTCAAATTATTAACATGAGCGCAAATGATGATAAATAGGCATAACACAAACTCATCATTACACTTTCTAAACTAAATCAACCTCTTCACCCTCCTTATCATTCAGTTAGGCCTAATTTAAATTCAATTGTGAAGTAATGTGCACAATTATCACCCATTCATCCATTTGTCATTCATTCAGTGAGGAGAGAGAGACACATTAGCGCCTGGCTGAGTACCAAAGTCCTACAGCACATTGTCTTGGCAGGGAATAGGTGTGAAAAAAACAGGTAAAAAGGCTCTAAATACTTTTCTGTTTGTGATTTCAAAATTCGGACAAATGAGCAATGTAAAGTACAAACATTTAGGAAAAGTCAGGGAAGGAGCAGGACATTGCTTTTTTTGGGAGGGCTATAATTTTTTTTACAAACTCAAACGTCAGTGGGTGTTGACCTATGGTGGTTCTAGTGTTAAAGGAGAAGTTTTATTTTTTACAACCAAATCAATTTTTTTATGCAAATTCAATGTTATAAATGGGTCCAGATAACTTTTTGTGATTTCACTTTTGGAGAAACTTACCCCAAACAGCAAATCACTTCCTCATCCTCGTTGTGTAGTATGGAAAAACATGAATAAAGTCTCCAAAAACACAGAAATACGTCCTTTTAGTGATGCAGGTCTTTAGATGTTCTACACATCTATTGTACCGATAGGACACATGGGGAGATAGTAGCTCCATTTTGTACCGTCAAAACTGTGATTATATGTAGAAGCCACACAACATAGTTTAAATTAAGTCTTTAAAATTGATAGAACAATATATCCCCAAGCAACCGGGATTAGGGCTGTGGGGTACATGACATTTTGTCAGCCGGTTATTGTCATGCAAAAGTCTGCCAGTTTCAAATAAAATCAAATCAAATCAAATTTTATTGGTCACATGCGCCGAATACAACAGGTGCAGACATTACAGTGAAATGCTTACTTACAGCCCTTAACTGCCAGTGCATTTATTATTAACAAAAAAAGTAAAAATAAAACAACAACAAAATGTGTAATAACAGTAGGGAGGCTATATATACAGGGGGGTACCGGTGCAGAGTCAATGTGTAATAACAGTAGGGAGGCTATATATACAGGGGGGTACCGGTACAGAGTCAATGTGTAATAACAGTAGGGAGGCTATATATACAGGGGGGTACCGTTGCAGAGTCAATGTGCGGGGGCACCGGCTAGTTGAGGTAGTTGAGGTAATATGTATATGTGGGTAGAGTTAAAGTGACTATGCATAAATACTTAACAGAGTAGCAGCAGCGTAAAAAGGATGGGGTGGGGGGGCAGTGCAAATAGTCCGGGTAGCCATGATTAGCTGTTCAGGAGTCTTATGGCTTGGGGGTAGAAGCTGTTGAGAAGTCTTTTGGACCTAGACTTGGCACTCCGGTACCGCTTGCCGTGCGGTAGCAGAGAGAACAGTCTATGACTAGGGTGGCTGGAGTCTTTGACAATTTTGAGGGCCTTCCTCTGACACCGCCTGGTATAGAGGTCCTGGATGGCAGGAAGCTTTGCCCCAGTGATGTACTGGGCCGTACGCACTACCCTCTGTAGTGCCTTGCGGTCGGAGGCCAAGCAGTTGCCATACCAGGCGGTGATGCAACCAGTCAGGATGCTCTCGAGGGTGCAGCTGTAGAATTTTTTGAAGATCTGAGGACCCATGACAAATCTTTTTAGTCTCCCGAGGGGGAATAGGCTTTGTCGTGCCCTCTTCACGACTGTCTTGGTGTGTTTGGACCATGATAGTTCATTGGTGATGTGGACACCAAGGAACTTGAAGCTCTCAACCTGTTCCACTACAGCCCCGTCGATGAGAATGGGGGCGTGCTCAGTCCTCTTTTTTTTCCTGTAGTCCACAATAATCTCTTTTGTCTTGTTCAGGGTAATTGACCGTTAATTAACATGAACACATTTAGCTTCTCCAGGCCTCCACGCATAGAATCAAATCAAATCAAAATCAAATCAAATTTTATTTGTCACATGCACCGAATACAACAGGTGTAGGCCTTACAGTGAAATGCTTACTTACAAGCCCTTAACCAACAATGCAGTTTTAAGAAAAATAAGTGTTAAGTAAAAAGTAGATGAGTAAAAAAGAAAAGAAAAAAGAAAAAGAAACAACAAATAATTAAAGAGCAGCAGTAAAATAACAGTAGCGAGGCTATATACAGAGGGTACCTGTACAGAGTCAATGTGCGGGTGCTCAGGTTAGTCAAGGTAATTGAGGTAATATGTACATGTAGGTAGAGTAAAAGTGACTATGTAGATAATAAACAGAGAGTAGCAGCAGCGTAAAAGAGGGGGTGGGTGGGGGGGATAATGCAAATAGTCCGGGTGGCCAATTGATGAGCTGTTCAGTAGTCTTATGGCTTGGGGGTAGAAGCTGTTAAGAAGCCTAGACTTGGCGCTCCGGTTTCGCTTGCCGTATGGTAAACACCGCCTGGTATAGAGGTCCTGGATGGCAGGAAGCTTGGCCCCAGTGATGTACTGGGCCGTACGCACTACCCTCTGTAGTGTCTTGCGGTCGGAGGCCGAGCAGTTGCCATTCCAGGCAGTGATGCAACCAGTCAGGATGCTCTCGATGGTGCAGCTGTATAACTTTTTGAGGATCTGAGGACCCATTCCAAATCTTTTTAGTCTCCTGAGGGGGAATAGGCTTTGTCGTGCCCTCTTCACGACTGTCTTGGTGTGTTTGGACCATGATAGTTCGTTGGTGATGTGGACACCAAGGAACTTGAAGCTCTCAACCTGTTCCACTACAGCCCCGTCGATGAGAATGGGCGCGTGCTCAGTCCTCTTTTCTTTCCTGTAGTCCACAATCATCTCCTTTGTCTTGGTCACGTTGAGATAGAGGTTGTTGTCCTGGCACCACACGGCCAGGTCTCTGACCTCCTCCCTATAGGCTGTCTCATCGTTCTCGGTGATCAGGCATACCACTGTTGTGTCGTCGGCAAACTTAATGATGGTGTTGGAATCGTGCCTGGCCATGCAGTCTTGGGTGAACAGGGAGTACAGGAGGGGACTGAGCACGCACCCCTGAGGGTCCCCCGTGTTGAGGATCAGTGTGGCAAATGTGTTGTTAACTACCCTTACCACCTGGGGGCGGCCCGTCAGGAAGTCCAGGATCCAGTTGCAGAGGGAGGTGTTTAGTCCCAGGATCCTTAGCTTAGCTTTGAGGGCACTATGGTGTTGAATGCTGAGCTGTAGTCAATTAATAGCATTCTCACGTAGGTGTTCCTCTTGTCCAGGTGGGAAAGGGCGGTGTGGAGTGCAATAGAGATTGCATCATCTATGGATCTGTTGGGGCGGTATGCAAATTGGAGTGGGTTTCTGTAATAATGGTGTTGATGTGAGCCATGGCTACAGACGTCAGTGCTACGGGTCGGTAGTCATTTAGGCAGGTTATCTTAGTTTCCTTGGGCACGGGGACTATGGTGGTCTGCTTGAAACATGTTGGTATTACAGACTCAGTCAGCGACATGTTGAAAATGTCAGTGAAGACACTTGCCAGTTGGTCAGCACATGCTCGGAGTACACGTCCCATTCCAAATATTTTCAGTCTCCTGAGGGGGAATAGGCTATGTCGTGCCCTCTTCACGACTGTCTTGGTGTGTTTGGACCATGATAGCCCCATCGATGAGAATGGGGGCGTGCTCGGTCCTCCTTTCCCGTAGTCCACAATCATC